GCCTCAGCGGTTGTGGTTAAGAAATAAGGAGGCTTGTGGCTTCAGTCATCCTTTGTAGCTCCCTTCTAGGTCACTCTATGTGTAAACACCTCTGGCCACTCCTCCTGGGTCAGGGCACCCAAGGCAGGGCTGAGGTTGGGCCAGAACTGGCTGGCCGGCAGGTGGGCACATTGGTCAGAGCAGGCTACCAGCCTCCTCTTCCTTCTGCCTCCTTTGCAGCTGCCTTGGGGTGCGGCCTGGGGGGCACAGAGCCATGTCGGACCTGCTCCTACTGGGCCTCATCGGGGGCCTGAGTCTGCTGCTGCTGCTGACGCTGCTGGCCTTTGCTGGGTACTCAGGGCTGCTGGCTGAGGTGACAGTGCGTGCCGGCTCACCCCCCATCCGCAACGTCACGGTGGCCTACAAGTTCCACATGGGGCCCTACAACGAGACCGGGCGGCTTTTCACCGAGAGCTGCAGTGTCTGCCCCCGGCTTCGCTCCGTTGCCATCTACTACGACAACCCACGTATGGTAAGGAGCCCTCTGTGCCTTGGCTGGACTTCCACCCCATGGACGGACGTGGGGCAGGGCTTGTTGGGGGAGGGATGTTTGGGTTTCTAAGGAAGGGGTGGGAAAACCTTGGAGCTGGCCCTGCAGACCATCTCCTGTGTGAGCTCGAAGCACCTTCCGGATCTTGCCTGGACTTCTGCTCCCTTCTGGGAGCGTGTGCTGGTTTTCTTCTTGCCCAGGTCTGGCTCCCCTGGCTCATGGCTCCCCTGAGTGCAGGGGGCCGAACCACTGTGAGTCCTTAGGCTCTGCCAGGTCTCTGGCCCCCTGCTTCCTCGCCTTGCTGCCCCTCCCTGTTCCATCCCCATTTGAGGCCAGCGCTCTAAGGTTGGGCCCTTCGTATTCTGCCCTCTCTTTGGGATGGAATCGTGTTGTTTCTGTGCCTCCCCTCTTTCAGCTCTCCTGCTGTGGCTGCAGGTTCTCAAGGGCTGAGAGAGTAGGCCCTGGGTATGGGTCTTGGAATCCCACCTCTCCGGCCATTGTGGTGGCCCCCGGCTCAGGGACATGGCGTTACTTTGGATGTCAAGCTGCCTGGCTTGGGGAGGGCCTCGGGGGTCAAGTGGAGCCAGGTGAACTGCCCAGAATGTCTAAGATGCTGGGGTCAGAGACTAACCCAGCGTCATTGGCACTCTGTGGGCGTCTGGCTGTACTTACAGCCTGTAGTGAGTCAGGGCTCACCGATGTGGCCTCCCGCCATGCCATGGGTGGTGCTGCCCACAGCTGCATGGGCTGGCAGCCCTGCCAGGAGTTTCTCAGCCTCCAGCTCTGAGCCTTGGCAAACCAGGCATTAGGAATCCCCAGCTCTGGTTTCATTGCCTGGAGAGCTCACGTGGTCAAGGCCTACAGCCTCCCCGTTGTCTCCTGACCAGGCCTCACTGGGGCACTCATTCAAAACAAGGGTGTGCTGACTCCCTCTCTGTGCCGGGTTCTGCTCGACACCTGCACTCTGGAGATGGACAGACGCGGCCCCGCAAGTCAGCCCCACACAAATGCATCTCCAAGAAGGCACCATACTCGATGCCCGCAGAACTTCGAGCTCTGGGTTTGGGGAGGGTGCCTCAGGTCTGCTGGGGAGGCTCGGAGAGAGAGAGATTTCAGCTGGGCCGTCTCCCTTGAGTAGAATTTTGCTCTGCAGGAAGGGCCTGGCTAAGGGAACTGCAGCAGACATAGGATGACGGGAAGTGTGGCCAGTGGACATGTGGTGAGTGGAGAGGTGGAAGGGTTCGCTGGGCCAGGCAGTGGGAGGTGCAGCAGGTTGGAGGAAAGGTTTGATACCGTTTGCCGCCTGCGATTTAGGAAGCGAAGTGGATGGCAGGTGGAGG